GCCTAGCGCCCCCACAGGGTGGGGTGGGAGGAGGTGGTCTTGTCAGTCGCCATCCACCCACGGTCTGGGTTTGCAAAACCAGTCTGGCGGGCTGCCAGGTCTGGGTGGGGGCCGTGACTGACAGGCTGGTTATTGGAAAGCTCCCATCATCAAGCCTAGGAATTTTGTTTGGTTGCCATGGTGACTTTCACTACAAGCGCCCTGACTAAAGCACAAGGAATCTGTTACCTAAAACCAGTGCCCTGGAGCCCCAGCCTCAGGAACTGTGCTTATCGGTGGCCTGTTCCCCTTGACCCCATATTCCGTCCCTCCCCAGCTGAGCCTCCCAGCTGCCTCCCCCGGGGCCAGGCGAGCACAGGCAGCTCCGAGCTCACCAGGACCCGACCACTCACATCCCCCGGCCCGGTGTACGGAGGGAGTCTGCTGCCCCCCTGAGGCCCCTGCAGGCTGGCCGGGGCACAGGTGTCAGGGCTTAGTCGGGAGCCCTCAGGACTTCAGGAAGCTGCTGGGGTGTCTGGTTGCCCCGGGGGCCAGGTTCACACTGTCCCCGCGGGGCCATCGGTCTCCGCCTCATCACATTTCTGCCTTTTAAACCCGAGCCCCGTTAACTAAAGGTCAGCCCACAGCTCAGCAATCAAGGTTCTCTGCTTTCTTTCTAACCCCTGAATTTGGGGGTGGATTTCCAGAAGTTCAGCTCCACAAGAGCTGGGTTTTTCCCCAGGAGTCCTGAGCCTTGTCTGTAGGAATGGGGGCCTCCTGGGCCACTGAGGAGCTTCCACACCTCTCCCAGGGCCTCTGCCCTCTGCCTACACCTCCGGGCGCCCTCCTCTCGCTCTGCACCCACCGCGCACCCCACCCTCAGGTCCCACCTGCTGTCTCACTGTCGGAGCTGCCTGCCGGGCCCCTTCACACTGCTGCCCTGAACACGCTTCTAAACTGACTGCAAGACCTTCTTTTATCGGAGTCCTCCAACAGGCCTTAGGAGGCAGCGGGAGGCAGGGCAGGTGGCAGTGTCTGGCACGTGAGCAAGCTGCTGGGAGCGGTGCAGGTAAGAGACGCACGACCTGGTGAGGGCGGGAGCCTCCCTGTGACCCTCACGTGGGGCTAAGCTCCTGTGGAGAGGGCTGCGTCCCACCCACTGGCCTGCCCCCCTGTGCCAGGCCTGCTCCACCCTCCACACCGGCCTGTCAGCCGCTGCTTCACTAAGACAGCCTTTGGGAGCCGATGCATGGGCAGGTTCTGCAGAAAAGAGGAGCCTCTGAAAAGCCTCAGCCCCTCAGAGCAGCCTTCGGGGGGCTCTCGGTGGCATACAGACCTCCGGTCCTTAAGTGCCCTCAAATGGAGACCTCGCTGGGGATGCGGAGGCCAGGGTGAAGGAGGTTTGACTTTTTTTGTTTTGTTTTGTTTTGCTGCAATGGTATTTACTGGACCGGCTGTTGAATTATCTGCCGTGGCAACAGCTGGAGCCACGCGCAGCTTGTTACCGGTGCAGGGAGCAGCTGGAGAAGCAGGGTGCAGTCTCAGTTGAAGAGCAATGACATTTTTCAGTGATCCCTGGCCGGTAATGGGCTCAATGACATTTCCTGCTAATCCATGGGTTTCTGTACTCTGCTGTTCCATCTGTGGGGAAGAGTGTTGCCTCATTCGCAAAAAGCCATGGTCATGCTCTATGGTCACTCCAGAGCTGTGTGGTAGGTGAATTTTCCACAACCCCTCCCAACCTCCTATCATATGTGTTTTTTTAAGAGTTGATTTTTTTCTCTTCTCTCTCTCTTTTTTTTTAAGGTAACAGAAATGTATTGTCTCAATAGTTCAGGACTCCATATATGCTCTATATTTTTTTTTCAGTTAGTTTTGCAGCCTTTTAGGGCTGGCTCCAATCAAGATGGAGGTCCTCATGGTCTTGGAGGGGAGGGACTCACAGTGGCTTAGAGATGAAGAATCTGCTACTGGTCCTTGGATGGGCAGGCTTTGTAGAATGAGGCATCATAGAGAATGGGATGCTCTGGTCCCCAGGCCTCTCTACTGTGACCCAAAAGAGAAGAACCCTAGGGATGGGACTCAAACACTTTATCTCCTTAGGCTCAGACCCCAGAGAGGTCTCCCTGCTGTCAGCCCCATGGCCCGAGCTCCTGACACCCCAGCAGGATGGGGCAGCTGTATTCTCATGCACAACCTGCCCCTTCAGAAGGCTCCTGCTTACAGAGGAAGGGACACAGTTGACAGAGGGGCACTATTATGCTACAAATTAACCAAGAACACAGTCTGCACTAGGGAGAGGCTTGTCACTTTTTCTGGGTCCCATAGAGGATATGCTGAAAGCCATCTCCCTGGATACACGCACATAGGCACAAATGTTATGGTTCAGATCTAGGCATTCTTGGAGGCCCAGAAGCCCATCCATGGGCCTCACAAGGAGGAGTCACCAACCACGCCAAGGACCACCTCTCCCCTACCCCCCATGAAGACACTTGCAGTGAGTGAAGCATTCCCTGATGAAGGAGTCAGCACCTGAGTGAGGTGAGGACGGTGGGGGGGCGGGGAGCACCCTTGGGGGAAGGGCACACATGCTACCAACAAGAGGGGAGGTACTGGGGATAAGGGGGCTTCCTCACCCAGCCCAGGAGCCACCTCCCCTGAGGCGGGTCGGAGGTTAAGGGAGAGCCAGAGTGCTGCCTTCCAAACCCAACACCAACCCCTCATGCCATGGGCTTTCAGCAGATTTTCTAAAAATGCCATTAGCCTCTCCACATGAGGCCAGGGGACAAGATTTTACCAGCAGAAAGCATTCAGCCCAAAAGTTAGGAGGAGACACTGCAGTAAGATGTCAGACCCTGGAATGGGAGGCTCCCTGCTGGGACACAGAGCCCGTGGAAGGGCCAGGTGGCAGCACGAGAATCCCTTGCCCTGTTTCCATCAGGACAGCTCTGTTCCCCTTGCTCCCAGAGAGTCTCCAATGCATGTAAGATTTCATTCAGGAAAAGGACTTGCTGGTCAAACAATGTCTGATGCCAGGCCCAGCCTCTCTTTCTTGTGCCACACACTCTGACCTGGGGGCAGGGCGAGGAGACCTCCCCACTCTAGGATTCTAAGGTTTCCTTAAGGACAGTTTTTGTTTCCATCAAAGCCTAACTGACCACAGAGTAAACAGACACACACAGACGCACACACAGACACACACACGGCTAGCAGCAGACAGTGGGTCAGACTGCCTGATAATCGTGAGAATGGAGCTTGAAACAAGCGAGGTAAACAGGTATTGGAAGAGGAGGACCTTTGTCCTTAGTGTATTTTCACTAAAAGTAAAAAATAAATTCTACACGTAGGTAGGCCTTGCTGTATTATGCTTGGGATTAATGAGACAAGGTAACTAATCTCTTGTCCACACACGCTATTTTATCTGTGTTTTAGTATTCCCTAAGCTACCTGCCTTTTCAAGTGAACGGATTTCAATTTTAGTAACCTCTCAAATGCAGGGTTGAGGCCAAGAGTCAGGGCCATCCCTGAACACAAAGAATGGGCTATGTCAAGTTCATGCATCATCTCTACCTACACCTGGCTACAGGCGGCTGAGACCCACCTGAAACAGGAAAGGTCAGGAGTCAGGGTGCTGTGGGCAGGGAGTCAGGGTGGCCTAGGAAAAGGAGGGCTTACCTGTGGGGTGAACTCCCACCCTTGGCTTTATTCGCTGGGGCTTGCTCTTCAGTGGGGCACACTGGAAAGCTTACCCTAAAGGCACTCTGCTGCTCCCAAAACACCTTTCTTAAGCCTTGGTGAGGACAAAGCCATCTCGCAAAAATCACATGCAAAGCTACCCATGGCATCCTCTGAAGGAGGCCAAAGGTTCAGGAAAGCCAGCTCTGTCCCTCTTTGGCTAGGGATGGACAGAGGCAGATGCCCAGGCTCCTCACACAAAGGGAGACTCGGACTGGGACAATTGCAGCTTCCCTTTATCACTTAACACAGCGGTGGCACCCACCAATTTCACCTAATTCTTTGTGTATCTGTTTTCATTGCCAGTGTGAGTCACCCCTCAAGGTAGCCAAGACCATGCTTCTTCCTGCTGTCTGAAGCGGACAGCCCCTGGCTGGTCCTTAATAGCCCTCCTTCAGACCTGAAGGTGTAATATGATAGGAATGGGGGTGTTCAGGGACCCCTTATCCTGGGTTCACGGGATTCAGAGAAAACGATCTATTATACCCAGTGTCACAGGCCTTGGGGGAGGCGGGCAGAAATAAAAGATGACCGACTTCTTTGTTCCCTCCTGCAGAGCAACACACCCTACTGCCTCAGCTGGCCCAGCATGGCTCTTGTTCCCGTGCCCTGGTTGGGTGGCAGTGGGTCCTCTGTGTATAGGTGGGGGCAGAAAAGTCTAGTTCTGCCACACCCACCATGGCCTAGGCCAAATGCAGCATAAATCTTATTTCAAAGAGGGGAATCTAGGCAGTGTGGCACACGGGGGGTGAGGAGTTGTCAAGGATGGAGGGAGAGGCCAGGACTGCTCTGGAAGGAGAGAACCCATTCCCCCCAATACCTGTGGCTTGCCTAGAGGCGGGAGATGGCTCACGTGGCCTCCCCAGTCCAGGTCCAGTCAGTGTTAGAATCTCATCCTTGGCTGGCTATGCCAGGGTTATGATTAAGTTACACGAGTCAGTGTCCCATGAGGCTCCAATGCAGAGCCCGGGGTGGGGTGGAAGCAGTTTGAGCACGTGCATTTGAACACAGTCTCCTCTGTGACCCACGTAGTCCCCGTGAGCCTGCAGCTGCTGCACAGAGCTTGCCACTCCCCACCTGACACCTCCTGGCATGGAACGCCAGAACTATTCTCTGACCCTACAGGCCCTCGCCCCACCTTGCCCCTCCAGCCAGCGGGTGTGCATGCAGCAGGCACTTAATCAGTGTGTGCTGGCTGACTACGTGGCAGGGTAGAGGTGTGAACAGGCACCTGTGTCTGAGGCAGGCCAGCCCCCAGGCCCTGGCAGTGTTGACAGGAAACTCACCTGAAGTTCTCAGGATACTCTGTGATGGCCATGTTGATGACGTCCAGGGCATGCTGGTAGTGCTTCTGGGCAGAGAAGAGGAGCGCCAGCAGGTGGAGGGCGTTGGCATCATCCCTGCACACTTTCAGGGCCTCCTGCAGCTGCTCGATGGCACTGGATATCTGCCAGAGAAAAGTGCCAGCTTAGCAACCTTCTCCAAGGCCCGCCTCCCCCAGGACTCTGGTGCCAGAGCCGGCCAATGAAGGCACAGCAGACTTGAGCGAGACCCTGGGCCCTGGGGGGCGGGGTGGGTGCTCTGATGAGAAAACCCATCCCTAAATACCATGGCGAGAGGGACTCACTGTCCCAAGTCAGGCTCGGGAAGCCACTGCTGCTTGGGGGTAAAGAGGAGCAGGTTTATGGCGTAGCATAGAGGTTCTAGGTGAATGTAGGGGACCAAGGAGGTCCCTGGGTGCAGACCCAGAGGTGGCCTCTCCTCTGCACCTGTTCATGCAGTGACGGAGGCCTCATCTTGCTCAGGAGCCCACAGTGGCAAGAGCTTCAGCTCTAGGGTCAGGTGGAGGCACGGATGCCAGCCCTGCCACTTCCCAGCTGGAGCCTTCAGGCGACCTCTCTGAGCTGCAGTTCTTAGCTACAAAGTGAGGGTGATGGTCATGACTGTGCCGGTGGCTGAGAGGGTCAGACAATGTAAGGGAATGTCCTGCACCGTACCACATGTGTAAGATGTGCCCTTCCCTCCCCAAGCCCCCAGACCCCAGGCAGCTACCAAGCAGGTAAGATGTCTCCTTCTCATCCTGACGGTTGTGTTCTCTCACGCCCTTGGGGCTGGTGACTACATTGACTCTTGCGCCTCTGTCCATATCAGAGCCCTATTCTCCCAGGAACCTTGGGAGTCTTTTCTAGAAAGTCTTGCTCCTTACCAAACCTTAGACAGGAGACTCCCATGCTCCCCAAGGGGGTCTATGGTGCAGCCAGCTGGGGCGTTCGGTTCCCTGGTGTACCTGGCCCCAGCCGGGTCTCCACCCAACCTCTGTGCACGCACACACACCCTGAGTGTTAGTGCCAGGCCCAGACTCCTTCCACGGGAACTTGCTTTTATGGGAAGTTCAAAGAAAGTGAAGGAGGCTAGGTTACTGTGGTCACCTTTCAGTTTGTGCCTCCCCAAGGCCATTCCTCCCTGCTGATTCCCCAGGGTGAAGCCCATTATCCTGGGCTGAGTATCCAAATCCACAGCTGTCATTGCTCATGCAGCCACATGTGTTCTGAGCAGGATGGGCTGCAAGGTATCAGAGACCCAGGTGGGCCAGGTCTAGCCTAGAGTCCATGCAAGAGTCCTCAACTCCCTTAAGCTCCCCAAGATCTGAGGTCCCCAAGGGAGCTGGGTGCCAGGCTCCAACCATTCTCTCTGGGTAGACAGACCCCATTCATCAGAGGTGGCTGAATAATTAAAGATCATGAACTTGACTGGCAAGACAAGCACTGGTGCCTTGACAGAGGACTAAAAATAAAGTGGCTTCAGGTATTTCCAACTGTGTTCCTTAGAACGCCATAGCAGAGTGACGTTTCTTGGTGAACAGTTGCAAAGAGGTACCAAGTGCTTCGCCCAGGACCTGGAAGTCAGGAGCCCCGTGGAGAAAGCCTGGTGGAAGGTGAGGACAGAAATCCTTCCTGTGGTCACTCAGCAAGTTCTCAGGAGACCGGACTGTTCAAGGGGGTGTGAGGGCAGAGAACAATCCCTTCCTCTGTGCCCACCATGTGCTTTACCACATTTTCTGACTTAATCCTTACTAGGTCCCTCGGAGGTGGGGGTACAAAGGTGCTCACGTAATAGACAACAGAGACTCAGACAGGTCACGTGACTCGCAAAGGGCCACACGGCTGGTAAAAGCAGTGGTACCAGTAGCAGATCAGCAGCACTTAGGGACCTGGGAGTTAGGAAATGTGACAACCCACCTGGCGGACGAGGGCCAGCTGCAGGGAGACATAGAGGATGACCTGGGGGTCACCAGGCGCCAGCTGCTGGGCTCTGTGTGGGGAAAGGCAGTGACAGGTCAGTTAGCAAGGACTGAGCACCCAGTGTGTGACGACAGCCTCCAGCAGGCCAGCCCTGTGCTGGGTGCCGCAGGGCAAGAGGTCGGACATTCTCAGGGGGTGCCCGATGGGAGATGATGGCAGTGGCAGCCCACGGGCAAGCAAGCTCCAAGAGGGGACCATCCGAGAGGGGAGGACTGGGGAGTGGGGAATGCTCCTCGCCTCTAGGCAACTGTTGGCCTGGCTGAGGCCCTGTGGTGGCCTTGTATAGAGCCTGGAGCCTGACCTCTCCACCACAGGACAGAAAGGAACGCTCCTGTATGTGGAGGGACTGGGAATGGCTTCGCTGGGAGAGAAGCCTTGGGAATGAAGAGCTGACCCTGGTAGCTCCATGGGGATTGGCTGGAATGGAACTCTTTCACCTTGAGGGGCTAGATGTCCTATGTGTTCCCACAAAGATGGCATAAGGAGTCTAGGGCAGGCCCCAAGCCAGCAGCTTCCACAGCAGTACTTAGGGGGAGTACTCCACAGGGGAGGGGCTTCTCTGGCATCCCCCTCCCTCCTTCTCTCCAGGATCTTGGCTACAAGGACATCTCTGTGAGGAAGGCTTGGGGGGTTGGGAGGGTCCTCACAGCCCTCAAGTTGAAGAGGGGCTGGAAGGAGGCAAACACCAATTTGAGCCCTTGCTACACCTAAGGCACATATGCAAGGTGCTCTTCTAACTTCATTTCACATAATTATCCCAACAGTCATGGGCTATGACTCCCATGTTAGAACCCCGAGCCCCAGGTGGTAGGGGCTGAGCCTGAAGGGCATTCCACCATCAAAGGGCTTGGCCTGCCTACCCAACCCCACAGGTCTGTCCCTGCGTCCCCTGGGGGCTCTCAGAGCCTTGGGTTCCTGGTCAATAAAATGGGGATAGAAACCTTTATTCCGTCTATACCTGAGGGTCTACCGAGAGAAAGCACGTGAATGTGCCACCCTGCGTCTCTGCTCTGACGGGGGCCCTCCTCACCTCTGCAGCGTCTGCAGTGCTTTCCGGTGCAATTCATCTTGCTTGGACTTCAGAGTTGCTGCAGGAAGACAGGATGGAGACAGAGCCATGAAGGCTTGCTGCAGGGGTGCCGACCCAGCCCTGCCCCATCCCAGGGCACACGGGCTCTGCAGGGTGGAGCCCGATTAGGGTCCCATCCAGAAAATGCTTACACTCAAGTAGCTGTGGACTGATGCCACCTACCACCCTAGTGACTGGGGGAGGGTGTGGGATGTCCACTTGGCCCAGCTTCCCAGCATGCCACTTGGCATACCAGGTCCTTCCACTCCTTTGCCTTCTTTGCCACATGAGCCTTGAGACAGGCTCCATGGCCTGATGCCTGCCTCCTTGGGCTTCCTTACACATAGGCCTCTTCTTTTATTTTTTAACCATTTTAACAAATTTTGAGTGTTAAATTTTAAAGGCAGGCGTTTGAAGCCTTAGCTGCACACGGAACCACTCAGTAAGCTTTAAAATGACTGGTCATCCAGGTCCTAGCCCAGCCCTGGTCAGATTACTCTTCCAGGTTTAGGCTCATGGGACCCCACTACTCCCCCTCCTGCAAGCAGACAGATGTAGGTGGCTGCCTGACTGATGGGGGGACACGCGACTGAGGTGGCAGGGTTTGGGAGAGAATGCCAGGCTTGAGTGGAATCCATCCTTCAAGTACAAGTATTTATCAAGCACTAACTGTGTATCCAGCACTATGCCATGTGTCAAGGGATGTTTAAAGGCCCCAGAAGGTCACAGCAGGGCTAAGGGTAAGACCAAAACAGAATAAAGACACCGTGGGGTCCGACTGCGAGCCCCACAGAGGTTCCAGGGGCAGGTATCAGCTCTGCTGAGGACCTGGGGCCAGGTCACAAAGGGTGGGAAGCTCCACAAAGAGGGCATGTGTGAGAGTGCTGGAGTCTGGGTCAAAGAGTGGAAATGAGATGGAGGAGTGTGTGTGTGTGTGTGTGTGTGTGTGTGTGTGTCCTCAATGGGGGGCAGGGCACAGGTGGGACAAGATGCCTGGGAGGCTCCGGGCCCCTGGCACTCACCGTCAGTGGCCTGCAGGCTGTATGTGAGGCCCAGTGCCAGGTAGCCCTTGGAAAGGAATTCCCCAGCTTCCTCCCTGAGGTCGATCACCATCATGGCAAAGCGCTCTGCTTCCTCCAGCTGCAGAGAGAAGAGGTACAGGTCACGGGGAGGGGAAGGCTTTCCTGGCCTCAGTACGCAGGCCGCTCCATCACCAGCCTGGGACACTCAGAACAGCAATTCCTCATGTGTGGGCAGCACAACCAGAGGCCAGGTGGCTTGTCTGAGACCACATGACCACTAAGTGGAAGAAAAAGGCTGTTTCCTCTCTCAGCAGTTCCCTGCAACCCACAGGGTCACAGGGCGCTACCTCTCACAGGAGAAACCTTCCCTTTCCCCAGACATCTTAGGTCCCTGAAGCTTACTCTGCCAAGAGCACAGACCCAGGACCAGGCCCGTCTGTGACAGCCCCTTTCATCATCTGGCCTTTGTTCGTCTGTCCCTGCCCTGTGCAGCAAAGAGAGAGAAGCCAGGGCCGGCGGGTGGGGGGTGGGGGGGCAGGCAGGGCTCTAGGACTGGGTCTTGGGGACACTGCCAACCCTGAAGAATGGGCAAGGTGCCACTCTGGCTCTGTCTGTGAGCTCGCTCCCGGACACAGGGAGCTCAAACTTTTCAGAGGAAAAAGGCCTGAGGCTGTTTTTGTCCTGGGAGAAGGAAGAACCATTCCAGTTGGAAAGGGACCAACTGGCGCAGGTCATGTGTGCACATACCACCCACACATGTCATGTGACATGAAGAGGGGCACCCACAGAGGTCAGGTCAGTCAGGGGACAGCTGGGGGGTCTTAGCCATGCCCACTCACGGCCACGGACCTCCTCCTCAGCCCAGGAACATCATCTGTCCCTGTGGCTGGCACACAGTGTGCGAGTGTTAGTGTCAGTGAGAACAAAGATTGGCACCACCCCACAGCTAGGGGGATCACTACCAGCCAGATGTCAAGGCCTCTGAGTGAGGCATCTTGCCCCCAGCAGAGGCCCATAAAGTTAGTCAACCAGGGAGCTAGATTCAAACCCAAGTTGGCTTCTGGCCCTCAGGCCAGTGTTGCTCCTGCTGTTCTTATCCTTGCAACCCCACCCTGGCCGGAGAGGGGGAGCTCTGTGCATCTTGTGAGCTGACCACTGGTCTTGGCCAGAGTGCTGCTGGACCCTCCCTCCCTGGAAGCTGGAGCCGAGACCCTGAGACAGAGGCCATCAGCAGAGGGGAGGTGAGCTCGGTAAGCCTGCCCTTTGTGCACGGCCAGGTAAGCTCTGCGCAGGGAAAGGGCTGAAGGAGCAGAGAGCACATTGTGCGGGGAGAGAAACAACAGAACCAAAACACAAGGAAGCGGAGCATGTGAGCTGACAGCCCAGACAGAGCGGGCAGGAGGGGATGCTGAATCCCTCTGTGGCCTGTCCACCGTCCCCGATGCATGCTGGCCTGGGCAATGCTCCAGCCCCCTCGTGGTGGTGCTCTGGCTGCTGGCCTGGGCTGCCAGCCGGCCACCTCCAGGTTGGTGGGCTGGTCACTGCGAAAGCAGGGAGTCTAAAGACCTAAGCTCTGACACTATCAGGCCCCAGGACTCAAGGTTTGGGGGAGGCTGTAGCTCAGCTCAGGAAAGCCTCAGCCGGCCAGGTGGACCCAAGGCTGCAGCAAGATCGGTGTCCTATAGCACTTGGCCCACGACCTGGGGCAGTGGGGTGGGTGGGTTTTGGGGGGGCCCTAAAGTCAGTCAGGTCACCATCTCAGGGTTGTGAGATCGAGTCCTACATCAGGCTCTGTGCTCAGTATGGAGTCTGCTTGAGATTCTCTCTTCTTCTCCCTCTGCCCCTCCCCCTGCTCAATGCTCTAAGTAAATAAATAAATAAAAATAAATTTTTTTTTTTAAAAAAGTTTCTATTTCACAACCCACTAATAGGTCTCAACTTCTGATGTGAACGCTGCAGCTCTAAGCCAGGGTACACCCATCTTCAGCCACCCCTGTCATCTTTCTCCCAGGGACTACCTTACTTGGCCTTTCTAATCTCCAGACACTTCCTCTGGTGACCTCAGAAGTCAACAGCTGGTGGCTCTGTAGTTTGGGGCTGATGTCTCTGCAAGATTAGCTCAGGTTATAGTGCTGGGCCTTCCTTGCTCATCAAAATACCTCCAAGGTGATGGGTTTTTTAAGTTCTTTTCAACCACTCTCCTTCCAGTGATATACAGCTCTTTAATACCTCCTCTACCTATGGTAGCCCTGTAACTTCACCATGAACCCCTCGTAGAGACTGCACCCACCCCTCTTCTGCTATTCTAGAGCAGTTTAGTGCTGCCCTGATGGCACAGGTGGTAAAGAGCTGAAGGTTCTGGGGCACAGGTTGCTTAGAGAACCTGTCCAAGGCCACCTGGCTGCTGAGCGACAGGACTAAGTATCCAATCTAGGTCTCCTGAGCCTACATCTGGGTCTTTCTGAGCTTCATAATTCATGACTGCCCTCTGCAGTTGTTCACTTTCTTCCTCTCTGACCATATGGGAAAAGGATGCACTGAAGGCTGTAACACTTGGACCCTTTGCTTTGGCTTTCCAGAAGTAAGAGAAGTGTTCCCATGACTTCACAAGCTCCGACGGCTCTCTAGTCTTCCTAATTTGGTCCCCACATCGACAGGCCTCTGGCCTGCACACTTGGCTCTTGCTCGGCTGCCTTCCTCTTCAGGGGCTGCCTCATCCACCCGGCCCTGGGCCAAAGACGTGATACCCCTGGCATTTTACCCTCTTTCTCCCTTCTTGTGAACCGGAGAAAGTTCCTTTCTGAGCCTGCAGAGCCTGTTTCAACAGTGCTTCTGGTTCTCCTTAGGCCCTTCCCTGGGGGGCCCAGGACCTGTTGCGAACTGGTCCATTGAAAATTCACTCTTCCCTTCCTGAGAGAAACAGGACAAAATCTCCTTATTTCCACATCCAGTGGCAGGACTGCTGGCATTCTTTCTTCCCTGCCTCATAAACCCTCAACTTGTCTTCCTGGCTCTAGCCACCCCTGAATCTGAAAAATGAAGGTAAAAATCACAAAAGCACCTCCCTTATGAGAACTCACTATTTTGAAGGGGCTTTCACAGGGATGGTGGCCATTCACCAGGTACCTGCAATGCACTTGCCAGCGATGCTCCTCGGCTCTGGTGTTCAGAGCCTCCTGTAGAGGGCAGATGTGGCTACCTCCGGGGTACAGACGAGGCAGTCTTTACTCCCCTAAAACCACACAGCTACTGGGGGTGGGGTGGGCAGCGATTGAACACTATCCTCTCTGCCTCCAAAGCCTCCACAGTTCCTACCACTTCATTCCGCCCCCACGGGGAGCAGGCCTAGAGACAGCACCACAGACCTTTCCAAAGAGGATCATGGCCTGCTTCCCCTCTTCTGTGTGACACACAGCACACAGGCACCTCCCCATCTCCCATCTTCCTAGGGAACTTTCAACTTTTTAAATTAAATAAATTTTAAATAATTATGTTTGGAGAGATACTAAGAAATATTTACAACTCTTTCCTTCCTCCCCCAAATAGCTGGCTGGGGACCTTGGCAAGACATTGGCTGTGTCAAGGCAGGAAGCTGCCACATGCTGCTGTCACCAGGATGCCTTCCCCTACCTAGGGGAGCTTCGGGCTAAGCCTTGGGCCTGGTGCTCTCCCATCTGACTCCATGCCTGCCCCCAGTTCAATCACCTTGCAGCAAACCCCATGTCAGCCAGCTTGTGACCATGCAGGTCCCTCGGCCTGGTGCCCTCCATCCCCCACCACGCCTGAGGGCCACTTTGCTCTCAGAACCCAGCCTAGGGCGTCCCATGCTGGCTCTGGGCATGAGGACAGGACTTGGGGACAGCAGGTGCTCCACCTCTGGGCACACGGCCACCCAGGCTGGTTTCACCCAGCACAGCTCGTTTTTCAGATGTCCCAGTTTCAGCCTCCCTTCCTGCAACTTAGGCCAAGTTGTCCACCCCCAGATTTCAGTCCCCTGCTCATGGAGCTTGGCAGGGCAATGTCTGGGCCTGCTGGAGCTGCCGTGAGCCTGAAGAGCTACAATGGCAAGAGACAGAGGTGGCATCCCGTGCCTTTCAGGAGCTGTGCTCTGTCCCAAGCACCAGCACACTTCACTCATTGAAGTCAGGCCCATTCTTCCTGCTTATGGCCCTGCAGATAGAGTGCTGGGCCATCTCTCTCCTGGCATCCTTGGAGAACAGGCTGCCCTTAGCTACCCATGGTCTGCTCTCTGCCCAATGCCAACTCAGGAACTTGAGAACTGCTAAACCAGAGGCAGACTTCCTGCACCCATCCCGCCCAGCCAGCTGGGGTGGGAGTCATTCTATTAAGATATGAGTGGACATCTAACCACATGCAGGGTTCTTTGTTGGGGACGGAGGCTCAGGATGCAGACATGGCAAGTAAAGAAGCTCCCCAACTACTTGGGAAGAAAAGCACCATACAAGGCAGAATTTGGTTGTCGAATGATTATGCTCATCGGCAAGTAGCACCGGACTTTAACTCTGGGCTGCAGTTTCATCAAGGGAGAGAGTTTCCGTCCTCAAGAAACACTGGTGATTATAATGTAATGTGCTAGATGTCCAAGGCACGTATAAACAGGGCTTTAGGGAGGTCTGGAGGTTCCAGGTTAGGGATGGCTGCCAAGACCCACCCCCTGTCCCTCCAGCGGGACCTGGATCCAGCCTGGACTCAGTGTTAAACCCTGGCTTAAACCAGCCCCCAAAGCCATGCATGCTTCCTAGCTGAGGTTAAACAGCTTGCCCTCCTCCCCAATTCTGATGACAAGTCTGCATGTTTAAGTTTCCTTTTGGACTTTTCTATTTACGTTGTCATTGATGACTTTGCTCCTAACTCATCTGATTTCAATTTGGACTGATTTGATCCTAATTTTATTACCATGTAATCTGAATGCACGTAATGACTGTAATTATGCCGCCAAGGGAAACAGCTCCTCCACGGCGGGAAGGCCTAAATTTAGGCTTCCTGGCAAGGGTGGCTGCTGGCTGGGTGGACATCCATAGCCACCTCAGGGTTGGCGGCCTTTGAGAGGACAGGGGCCCTCCCCTGCCCCAGCTTGGTGAGGCGGGCACCTGGGGCGCTGGCCAAGTGGAGGACTTGAGGCTCCTCTGAGGATTGCCAGGAGCATGCAGGAGTATGAGCGAGGGGTCGGTGAGCCCACCCTCTCTGCATTCCCTGGCTCACACCACAGCCCTCTGTTGCTGTGTGCAGCCTGGGTGTCTGCTGGCACCCGCATACCGCCCACATCCCCACAGCTCCCCACTTGTAAGATGCAGAGTACCAACAGTTACCCTGGAAAGATCTGTGGAGCAAGGAGTTTCCCCATTAATCATGGGGTACGGAAAGCAAGCAGTGATGGAAGAAGTGACCACTGGCCTGAACCCTCCACAGTCCAAAGGCCTCCTCCTCTGTGAATCTCCTGCCCCGTCCAGCCTTATACATACTTTATGTCATTTACGCCACATCTGACGAACAGACTGTTACTATTTCCACTTTACAAATGAGGAAACAGACGCATGGCACGGGTATGTACCAAGACCACCCAGGGGTGGCAGGGAAACTCTAATCCACCTCATGGTGTAGCCGTTTCCTAATGCTTGGAGCCTATAAGAGATCATTCTACTGGATTTCCTCCTCACTAAAACCATACTCTAAGAGCAAGGGCACCGGCGCCATGCTTCTGTCTCCCTGCACCATTCACAGCGAATGGGGCCACACCGGGCCTTGCAGGCACTCCAGCTAGAAGAATCTGAGAAGCAGGAGACAGAGGGGAAGGTGATCTTTCCCCCCCTGCCCCTCATGCTAGGGAGTCAGTCCTCTCTGCAGCAGAGAGAAGACAAGGCTCACTGGGGCGGCGAGGTAGGGACCCAGGGGAGGGTCAGGCCAGTTTCCAGTCCCTGGGAGACTTGGCAGGAACGGTTAGAACACGGAGTCTCCCTTCCCAGGGCTGGATGCCTAAAGAGGGGGAGTGGCAGTGGGTCAGGCAGGCTGCTAATTCTGAAGCCTGGCCCCTGCCGGCTGGGACAAGCTGGGCCCTCAACCATGGTGAGAGTGGGCTTTGGGGTTGGGAAAACAGGCAGGGGTGGACCGTGTATGAGAGCAGCTCCCTTTAGGGAGACAATGGACCTGGAAGGCAGATAGAGGAACTGGGCTATTTTGCCCAAAGAGAGGAGAAGTGGGTGGAGTAGACAACCAAAGTACAGGAGAGGATGCATTTGTTCTAGGACGGCCCCTCACATCAGGAGGCTTGCGTGGGCTCAAGGAAGCCAGGCCCTGAGGGGAGAGGGTGTATCTGACCATTCAGCCGCAGAGCCCTCGGCAGGCAGCTGAGCAGAGGGCACGGACCCACAGGCTAGAGCCGAAAGGAACAAAGGAGCCAATGGAGGAGGCCACCTTCTAGTCCTGCCCACGCAGAACTGTACGCTGTAGTCATGTGAAGCCTCCATCCAAATGATGGCTGGCCCAGGTGCTCCAAGTCCTGCCCACTACTGCACTGCTGGGCAGGTGGGAGCCCCCCTTTACTTTTGACTCTACATTTTGGTTCTCTAGAGACCACAACTCAAGGCTGAACCATAAACCTGATACTAGCCTGAGTTGGGGGAGCTGCTGTTGCGGACAGAGGCTGGTTTTCTCAGATTTTCCTTCCAGGCCTGTCTGCCTCCCAGCTCCCCATGTCCCCCTCCACCCTCACTCCTTATACACACAGCAAGATGTGCATGCCCTGATCTCATGCCCATTGCCACCCTTCCGAGGTAGCTTCTGGGATCTGGGCCTTGCCCCTGTAGCTCACTCACCCAGTGCAGGGACCCGATGCAGACCTTGGCAGCCATCAGGGGCACAGTGGGGTCCGATGGTCGAAGCTTCATGCACTCCCGCAGCAGTGACACAGCATAGGCCGACTGCAAAAGAAAGGGCAAGTGATACCATCACTGGCAGCCCTGGGTCTTGACAGACTGGGTGCCTCGTGCCTACAGCGGGGGGTATTCCCAAATAGCCAGTCCCTGCTCTTCATCCCTCCCCTCCAAGAGCCAGGAAGAAGGCCCAGCAGGGGAAGAAGCCCAGGTCATGTTGGCAGACAAATCTCTCCCCGGCCTCAGAGTCTCATCTGGAAAATGTAGACTATGACCCTTGCCCGGATGAGGCGCCAACAGCTAAGGTAACAATAGGTGGAAACTCTTCAAAGGAATTCAGATGTGACCCACAGAAATTTTAGAGGCAAAAGGGGGCTCTCTCAAACATCTGAGTTTAACAGCCTTGGTTTATAGGTGACAAGATGAGGCCGAAGCTCCACAGGACTTGGAAGAAGGGCCGTCGTGGAGAGTTCAGGGGAGGCATAAAGGCTGGCAGAGAAGGAGAGAAGCTAAGCGGGCAGAGGCAGAGAGAACCTCCAGGCAGGAGTCTGAGGCCCCTCAAGGCTCCAGGACTGGGCCACAGAGATGGGGACAGAACGGACCTACTGAGGATGGCCAGGAGAGACCATCCACAGGCAGGCAGCAATAGCATTCACAGTAATGAGAAAAAGAACACCAGGTAACACGTATTGTGGTCTTACTAGGCACTACCCGTTGCTATGAATCAGAGCTCAGCAAAACACAGTCCACCAGCCAAATGTGGCCCTCCACCTTCTGCGAATAAAGTTTTATTGGAACCCAGGCACGCCCATTCACGTGTGTACTGCCCATGGCTGTTTTTATGACAGAGTGGAGGAGTTCCCACAGAGGCTGCTCGGCCTGCAAAGTCAAAAACGTCCACTATCTGACCCTGTACAGAAAGTCTGCCGTGTCCTAAGTGCTTTATAAATTTAACTTTCACAACTCTCCTATGAGGGAGATGTGCTATGTCCCTACTTACAGATGAGGAAACTGAAACAGAGAAGTAGCTTGTTCAAAGCCACAGTGCCCATACATGGCTGAGTTGGGGTTTGAACAGCCTGGCTTAAGCCCGTAACCACTGCCCTATGCTCCCTCTGTGGTGACTGCCTTGGCAGAAGAAACAGCCTCAGTCTCCCTGCTACACACACACACACACACACACACACACACACACACACACATGCAACATACTCAGGGCTTCTGACCAATTCCAACACTTTTCCAAGAAAACTCAACAGTGACACCCCTCTGCCCCTCAAATGTGTACACTCCACACTTGTGTGATCCCCGGTAGGCAGGGGCAGGTGTGTAACCAGAGTCTCCATATACTAAGCTCTACTCTGAGCCAAGCTTCCTCACCATTAAGGAGCTTTCATCCATCCCGGCAACTGAGGAAACGGCTCTGAAGGCTTACCTGTCCATAGCTCAGTGTGAGGCACGGACAGAGAGAGAGCTGGACCCCCAGCCTTTCTCTAGCTACTCTTCCTCTCCCACCAGCTAACAAAAAGCTTTTCTCAGCCCAGACATGACAGATGGAGGCCCTGCGCTCAGTAGGCCAGTTCCACGTGTCTCAGCCAAGGGCTAGCTCTGTGCCCAGTACTGCGCTGGGGTTGTGGGGTCACTGCGAGAAGAGGGAAGAGGCCATGGCTCTTGCCTATCAGGTGCCTGTAGAAAGGCCAGAGGGGAGAAGACAAAAGCTACCTTTCCCCACCACTCACTCAGGAAATGGAGGTGTGAGACCCAGCACCGGCGGGTGTCAGCAGATGACCTATTCCGACAGGCTGTGGGGAGGGGGCCAGGCCATCGGCTCTCCTGTGAAGGTCACTCCCAGCTTCCCGGGCCACAGCCCCCTGCCCACACGCCACAGCAACCCTCGGGCTCCCCTCCCCTTCCCTGGCTGCTGACCTCTGCAGGCTTGAAGGGTTCTCTAACACTGAAATAAAGGTCTACAACCCCGACCGTCCGTGTTCACCACACACAGACCACAAAGTGTTGCTATTTCAGAAGCCATGGGAGGACTCCGCAGTCAGGGAAGGCAGCTTTTTTTTTTTGTCATGCTGGTTACCTAGCAACGCAACCAATGTGACTGCTGAAGAGACCAAGAGAAGGAGCGACCTAAATCATGTCATGGACCTCATCTTTTCTTCCCGCAGGCTGCGGTGTCAGATGTGTTTATATCTGCCCGGCCACACCTTTAGCAGAAGTGCAGGTACAGAACCTTACGCTGGGGCAAAGGCCAGCTCTAGCCACTCTGCCGGAGGGCTGCCTGGGCCAACCAGGCACACTGAGCTGGTGTGTAGGGTTCCTGCAGGGGTGGAGAGTACGCTTCCAGAACAATCTCTTGCTGTACCAAATGCAGGCATGGGTATCACCTACTGTCTCCAGCCTGTAGAGCCTCAAGTGTGAGGTACTCACCGATCGCCCCAACTCCCTGCCTGTAAGCCCATTCTCGTGCCCACCTTGCTGGTCTGTAAAGAAGCCAGACTGGGACATCAAACCCCCTGGATCCTGGGTTGTGCTGGACTGCGTGTGGACCTCTCTGAGCCTGGCTCTTCTCAGTAGGGAGGCTGATGACCCCATACCTCCTAGGCTAACACCTTCCCCTGAGAATGGTGGGGGGCCGGGGAGAGTGGTTTCCTGGAGCACCACCAGAGATTAAACCTAAAGCTAACTCCTGAGTGTACTGCATTCTTCTGAGGAGGGGTCCTCAGCTTTCCTTGGCATCTCAAAGGGTCCATGACCCCCAGAAGGGTGAGGACCACTGCCCTGGCCCTGGGCCTCTCCTCCTGCTCTGTGCTCACTATTCCAAGACTAGAGGTTCTTTGTTTCCCAGAAGCAGGAAGAAGCTGTCACATGCCACTGTGAGTTGTCTGCCCAGGCTCCGTGGAAGCTCCAGCCCCACCTCCTCCCCTCCCTCAGGACTCATCTATCTGTGGCCTGAATGCTCCCTGAGCCTTGACAAGACCATGCTGAGCACAGAGTGGGGGTGGACCATGTCTGTGCATTCAGGATGCTCTGGGAGGTGGTTAACGTGATGGGAGTGGGGAAGACACATGCCTGGTGGGGGCTGAGGGGGGTGGGAAGCTCCCTACTTGATTCTCACTACACATACTTCCCTGGCTCCTTCCCACCTATGAGGCTGCAGCACCTGCTCCTCTTCCTCTTCCTTGTCTAACCTTTGTGGAGGAGATGCTGGCAAGCCGCGGAGGGCCCTCCTCTGAGCGGAGCTGAAGGCTAGAAATGGCAGGTGGCACAGATGGGCGGAGGAGGGGGCAGGAATCCCCTCAGCCCCACAAAAGGGCTCTGGGTGTTTACAGCTCTTGGAACAATCTGCAAGCTCCTGCCACCTTATTTCCTGCATTTGTAGCATCCTTGGCTCTAACACCCTTAGCACCCAGCCCCGGAAAGGTTTTCCTTTCATGTTACTGCTGAAAATAGAGGCTTATGTAAGTGGAATTCTCATCAGAGGGGAAACCAGGGGGTGCTGGAACAGGGCTTGGTGGGTAGAGAGCGAAGGTGGCCCTAGTGACCCGGAATAAGGACAGTCCCCTCACACTGGGCAGAGTTCCCCTTGCCCCTGTCCTGCCACATCCATGGGCACAATTCTCCCTCCAAACTCCCTTGTGGGTGCCACTTCTCTGCTCCACTCTTCAACCCCTCCCTCCTAAACAGGTCCTTTCAGAGGAAGGTCCTTTCCTGACACCACACTTGATGTGCAGGAAGATGAACATGTCCCTCGCTCAGAACCCTTGTCCCATGCCTGTTTTGTGCAGTTGTACTCATTGAGTCACACATGGAAATTCTGATGCCCCATGTGTGCACATGTACCAGAAGAGCATCCACAAACTCACAGTTGCACACCTGTAGGTCACAGGTGGACACCAGAGTCACACAGGGATCTGTGTATGACACTCTGGCACCCCTCGCTCTCCTAGAGATTAAAACCCGATGCTAGGGGACATTTCTGGATCATCGCCATGCCCTCTGCCTGCCCCTGGAAGAAGCCAGAGGAGAGCAGAGGCCCCAAAGGTGGTGTGCAACCTCCCCCACCCAACACACACCCTGGTCTTACCTTCCCACAAGCCACCATAGAGAGGGCCACTTGGTACCAAAGGTGAAATTCTTCAAACGCAAACTTCATGGCTCGCTCTAGGCACTGAGGAGAGGGTTCTGGTCAGCACTTCTCCCCAAGAGATCCTCCAACCCCCAGCCGATCCTATACCCCCCAGGGTAATCACTACCCAAATCACTTCCTGTAGGAGGCTGCAGAAGGTCCATACTTGGTTCCTGTCAGGAAACCCGGGCATATCCTGGCCCTGGCACTGGACAGGTCATGCTGTGTGATGTTGCCCATGTCTCTGACCCTCTCTGGCCCTTGGTTCCTACCTCTGTAACATGTGAATGTCTCACAGGGCGATGGTGAAAAGTGAATGAGATTGGGTAGGAGCTTTTAAAATGTAAACATCCCATAAAAATGATAACTGTCATTTATTATTATTGTGCATGGTACCACTCTCAGCTTTTTACATGTACTCACTTACTGTCCCCAACAACCCTGGGAGGTGGGTTCTCCATTACCCCATTTCACAGATCTGGAGGCTGAGGTTTGAATGACTTGCCAGAGTCACAGGGCCAGTAAGTGGCAGAGCAGGCCAACTACAAAGTTGCCCAAATGGAAAGACTTTTCTCGGTTCTGCTATTCTCTATGACCAGAGACAACTGACTGCCCCGCTGGCCTGTCCGATCCTGGGCAACCCAAAATCAGGAGTGGCCTGGTGGGGTCCAGCAGACGATACAAGTGCTTCCATTCAATGGAGGCAGCAGCCCGCATGTGAGGCCAGGGTTCACCCTGTGGCCATGGTCAGGCAGGGTGGGGGACAGAGGTGCATTCTGAAACCAGACAGCATGGACTTTAAGAGCTCAATAGCCTGGGTTCACGTCCTGGCTCAAATGCACTCCCTCCACCATCTAGGGCAAGAAGCAACCCCTCTGGTTGCTTCATCGGTAAACTCAAGAGAACATCACTTAAAGATGTTATCTAAAAGCACCTTGCCAGGTGCAAGCAGGGGCTCAGCGGATGTCACCACCTCTCTTCTCAGGAGCCGTCCTAAACACATGGAGAGAATCTACTGCCAAGAGGCCCACTCTTGCACAAGGAGACGAGACACGAGCCCTAGAGCTACCTTTGATCCCAGCCCAGATCTGAAAGCTTAAAAATGTGTGCATGCCATTCGCATCATGGGGGATAGAGAGGGGGCAGCGTGGTGTCCTGGTTCCCCTGCCTCCACCCCAGATGGGTGCCACCCCGGGAGTGTTGCCCACGAGGGTTTGCTCAATAGAATGGAGATGCTCTGTCTAGCTGGAGTGGGAAGGGGTTGCAGGTTCCCAACACACACCAAGCTCAGAGCCCTGCCAGGAGATGGAGTCACAAAATACCAGTGTCATCTACAGCATGAACTGGGGGATGGATTAATTTCCCCTTTGTACTTCTCTTTACGATCCCATGCGTTCTTTCAAAAGAAAATATACAAAAACACTAGTAGAACAACCCAAACCCAAACCACCCCTCCTACCAGTGAAGGGAAGCTCTCCCAGCACTGGAAATGGAACAGCTCCAAGCCTGGTCTCCCCAAGGACTGAGCTGTACCCTGCGGAGGCAGGGAAAGATGGTGGAGGAGGTCAAAGGGTGGCTCCACCCGACTGCCTTGGTGAGCCGCCTGGCTTCAGGGGCGGAGGTGGGAGCCATACCTCGGAGAGCATGATGTACTGGCCCCTCCTGCCCAGCGTGATGCTCAGGAGGTCATAGATGGCCGCAGCATTCCGCAGGCTCACCGCCCGGTCCTCCTCCTGCTCTGGCGCCCGGCTCAGCACCACATCCCGGGTAGCCTGAAGAGGGATGTGGTTTAGGAAAGAATAAGGACATAAAATAAGCAGCTGCCTGCCTCCAAGGCCCAGTGACTGTGACCCTTGTGCTGCTACACCAGGCCATGCTCCCAAAAAGTGCCAGAACCTTTCCCCACCCCCACAATGACTCCCATGTAAGACAGAAAACCTGCACCCTCAGCCTAGGTTGGGGTGAGGCAGTAGTTTGGAGGGCTCCTGGTGTTCAATGGTTCAGACTACGAATCTCAAACCCACAGAAAAGTTGCAAGGATAATGGCACCGCCCACGTCCGCTTTCTCTCTCTCTAGTATACAATAATGACAGAGTCATTGGGGGTAAGATGACCCTTGACTCCTGAGGACCAGAGGACATTCTCTTTACAGCCACACAAGGAATGCCAGTATCTCAGGAAATGTAAAATTGCTACCTGTTCAGTCACAGCTCACCACCTGCCCACTGATGGCCTTACTAGAAGTTGTCTCATCCCAGAACCCAACCCAGGACCATGCCCACATTCAGGGGCCACGTCTGTTCAGTCTCCAATCAGTTCAGAAGGACCCCTCAGCCCCCATCTCTCGGACACTAGCATTTTTGAGGATACAGGCGAGCTGTTTCATGGAAGAGCTGCTTGCGTGCTTGTAGCTTCAAGTTATATCTGAAATTGTCTAGATCAGGTGGGTGGCTCTGCTGCCTCACTCACAGGACGGGAGCTTGGGCTGTGGCCCCTTGGTGCCACAAGTCCCTCTGATAAGGATGCCCCCCTCCGCACCCCCCACTCCTTCCCATCACTCCTGTGTTCAACCCAGACCTGATCCTTGACTCCTTCTGACCATAGAGCTCCTCTCTCTGAGCTCCCTAAGAAACCTCTCCCATAACATGGGGGGCCTGTGTTCCTGTTCTCCAGCACTTATGAATTCAGTAGTTCAGAGTTGCCAGGTGGCTGCTGGGCAAGGGGATTGGGGGATCCTGGGGGGAGCGGGCGGCAGTGGACAATGGGGAAATGTGCTTTAGGAGTAGGCAATTCTGTACAATCTGAAGCAAGAGGCTCTGTATCACCAAGCCTGAAACCTCCCCAATGGGGATTCAGGACCCTCTTGTTCTGTGGCCTATGGTCCCAGGCCCCGCAAACCCATACTCTGGTGACAACACTCAGGCCTGGGAGTAATTCAACAAGAATCATGGAGTCTCCGAGCTGAACAGCAGCAGGGCAGGGACCAGGTTAAGGATGCTCTGGGACCCCGGCATCTCCTACACACACATCTCCTGAGGGCTCTATCTGAGCTGAAGCAAAGCTTGGTTCCAGCCAGATGCTCCTGCTGGGTACTCCCAGTATCCCTCTCCCTCTGAAGTTGGGGCTGAACCCCCTTTTGTGTGTTGGGACTCACCCTCTTCTACTTCCCCACATAGGACCTCAGAACCGAGGATGCTGGGATAAAAGGGAGCTACTGGCCCTTAAAACCAATTTCCCATTGTCAGATCCAGACAATCCTTTGTATTCACAGATGGTCCTCAAAACCTCCCTCTGGGCAAAATTACGAACCCCTTCTCCAGGTTAAGGGCTGAGGCTCCCATGGGTGAGTGGCTATAGAGGGAGAAGGAGCCCAGTGGCCTTATCACTGCAGGCTCTGAATGTGCCCTATTGTGTAGGCCTGAAGTGCGTTCTCAGAGGGTTCTGGAAGCCAAAATGCCTCTAAGACGGAAGGAAGTGACTCACCCAAGGGGGCACTTTAGGAAGACAGGCCAGTAGCCAGGGGTCCTGATGGGTGCCCCTCTGGCCACAATAGGTGAGGACTGTGACCACTCCCATGTACATGACCAGCCCCCAGAGAAGGTGCAGGGATGCCAAGGGATCCCCAGAAAGGATGAGCACTGCTGCCAGCCCAATAAACAAGAGCTGGTCAGGAATGCCTAAGGGTTAAGGGGAGAGGAGTAGAGAGGGAAAGTGCCAGAGAAATCCCCCTCCCTCCCGGTGAAATCCACCCACACAGGCACCATCAGGAAGACAAGAAATTCTCAGAGGCTTGGCAGGAGCTCTTTGACGAAGCAGAGGAGGAGCACAAACCTGGCCATGGACCACCCCTCATCTCCTCTTCTGGCAACTCCCCAGCTCTGGCCCCCGAGAGTGCTCCCCCCACCCTCCAGAGGTGGCCTTGCTAGGCAGCAATGACAAGGGTGGAGGCAATGAGAGGATGTGAGGTACAGTCCTGCCCTCAGAGAGGGGGCCATGGAACCCTCATAGCAGGAGTACTCATGCCCAGTGGAATCTGCCCTAGAAACCCAGTGGGAGGGAGAGGGGCCCTGATGGAAGGGGGCAATGCAGGCAGCCTGCAGCCGGGCGGCTTTGCTGTGGGGCCTGGGGCGAAGCCTGGCTGGGCAAGTGGGCTGTATGTGCAGACCAGTCTCATTCTGGGCATGGTCTGTCCATCCTCAGCTCTGGTCGACCTGTCCTTGAAGAGTAACCCCTGTGGACCCTGACTCCCACCCCCGTCCACGCAGTCCCAGCACAAAGTCAAACTTCCTTTTCTGTGGCTGCCATACAAGGTCACCATGAAGCCCTGTCCACCTGGCAAGTTTCTCCCCCAATCAGCTCCCAGTCCCCCCCTGCCCCCACAGAACTCCCTGCAGCTCCCCCTAAGCATCATGGACTGTCTATGCCCTCCATCAACCTGGATGTCTCCTGGCACCTCAGACCTCAGTGCAGGTACCTGGCCACCTGACTCATCCTGCCAGGCAAGGCCGCCCCCTCTTGTCCTCTCCTGGCATGGGGCACACACCCCAGCACCAGTATGCCCAACAGTTCATTGGTTCTTAGGCCAGGGACATGCCTCGCTGTCTCCACCACCTTCTGTGGTCCATGTCTGTAATCATGAGTGATGTCAAGAAAGACTTCTGGGCCTTTCTTCTCTTGACCTTTAAGACAGAGTGCATGCCTGGGGGGCAAAAGGGGCGGATTTCCAGCACTGGGCTAAGGTTAAGTCAGAGGACCGGGTGGTTCTCAGCCTGGGGCTGGGTCTCCCCAGTAGGCAGACAGCAGGGAAGAGGTCTCAGGGCGCCTGTGTCAAGCGGGAAGCATGGTTCCACAAAGGAAAACCAAAAACAGAAGTTTGCCCTGGTTGCTATGGCTTTAGGGTGGGGCTGCGGTAAAATGCTGTGGTGCTGCTCGCTGGGTGGGGGAGACATGGCAAAAGGAAGGAAGCTGTGGGGGCTGGTAGCAGGGCAGGAACTCTGGGGGCTTCGGAGGTCCTGTTCCCTCCTCGCCTGAGCTCACCGCCCTCAGGCCAGCGATGCTCCGATTCACCCCCAGCAGCCTGCTCTGAACTAGTCCCAGCCACTCTTTCCTCCACTATTCAAGTGGCCTTGCTAGGAAATCCTTCAGATCACAGACACAGATGTGCATGCGCCTACGGCCTATAAAGCAACGTGCAGACAACGAACAGTCTTCTCACCACCATCATCCTTACTCGTCTGGGGCCATGAAGACGATTCTCCCCTTGTTCCTCCCTGCACAAACTCCAAGACCCCACCTCTAGGAGTGCCTTTCCTTTCCTTGCCTGGTCCCCACATTTTGTCCCAGGCAGGGCTCCTGAGCTGTATCTGTTCCTAACCTGTCTCCCCCAGGCAGCCTCCTCCAAATGGAGAACATTCACCCCAGGCCCACCGCAGGTCAAGAGGAAACGCCAAAGCATGCTCCTCCCTACTCCCTATCCTCCAACAGCTCATCATTGCCAGCGTGACCCACATCTTTCGAGAAGGATCCACGAAGCAAATCTAGGGTCTTATGGGAGGGCCAGCAAGGGATCTGCCATGGGCCCAGGCTGGCCAGCCCACGTGAAAGCCAAGGCAGGTAACCCTTCTTCCAACACTGAGTCCCAGAAGGTGAAACCTCCAAAGGCCAGTCCAGGACAGCTTCTGTGGCCTCATGGGCCTCCCCTGTCAGCCCTGGTCCTGACCTTGTGCTAATTGCAGAGCCTCAGACCACACTGACCTTCATTTCCATCCAGCCCTGTTTCTCCTTTCTAATCCTTGACACAAACAGGGTAAGAGAAGGAAAGGGAATTGACTTGTGGGGCACTTTGTAAGTGGCATCTCACAGTGACCTCCTGTACTATTGTCCTATTTCACACATGAGAAGACCGAGGCTCAGGAAAGCTCCCCAAAGCATACAGATAGGTGAGACCCAGATTAGAACATAGGCATTCTGACTTCACCCCCAGAGGCCTCTGAAGAAGTATCCAGTAGCCCGTCCATGCCATCAGAGGCCCCAGGATGGCCCTGCTTATGGAGGAACCGAAGCAAAACACAAGGCTGGGCCTTCCCAATCAGGGATAAAGCCCCTTGGGCAACATGTCCAGGCCCTGCTCCGCCCTGTTCTCAGACACAGCTGCTCCATCCTGGCCACGGACCCAGCCTCAGGGCCCGCTGCTGGCACCCCACAGAAGTACCCTGGAAAGGAGTCTCCCAGCAGCCTCTGTGACTGGCACCTGCCCCTCCCTGGAGGACACTGTCATGTTCCGCTCGTGCTGTCGTCCCCCACCAGCAGACATAATTACCATGGCTCTCAAGCTGCCAGTCCACGGAGCCAAGAAAAGCATGCTCTGTGACGTGTCCCATCTACCCCGAGCCCCGGACCAGGCCCACGCCGGCCCCCACTCTCCTGCCGCATCAGGCTTCTGCGGCAGAAATCACAGCTCCTCCTGCCAGCGAGGGCGAGAGGCTCTCCCACCTCTACTGAACCGCCTGTTCCGAGCTGGCAGCGTTACCAGACCCTTTACCAAGGCAGCCTGCAGCAGAGCGAACCGGGTGCCAAAATCTGTGCTCATCTGCTGAGTCCCAAATGGAATCAAGCCCGAGAAGCACTTTTTTTTTTTTTTTAAACTGAATGGTATCCTCAAACCAATTTTTCTTCCAACTAGATCTGAGCCTAAATGTTTTCTGAAATGACTGAATCAGAACCAAGTATTTATCAGGACAAAACAAACACGTGTCAAACATCTACAATGTACCAGGCACCTGTGTGTTCGCTGTCTTGCCTTTTCTGTGCAAGAAAGGCCTCATTAGGCACATTTTACATATGAGAAAGCTAAGGATCAGGGAAGGAAGAGCCTTGACCAGGCCCCACAGATGGTGAATGGCAAATTCAAGACTGGATTGACACGCGGCGTGGCACAGTGAGTTAACCTGCAGGGTCCCCAGAAGCTTACCCCTCTCCCCAATCTCACTCAAAACCAGGCCTTTGTGACCTTTTAGTTCCCAAGCACCTGATACCAGAAGCAGCTTCTCCACCAGCTGAATGAAACAGGGGCCCACGGATTCAGTCTGCTTTCGTGTATATTTTTATGCCTAGATGAGTATTTTAGAAAGGATCAAGACTTCCATACTTCCTGATTCTCCAACTGTTTGAGAAAAATCAGACTAGTTTTAATATGATTCTTTTAAAAACTAGAATATACACTTGGGGTTCAGGAGACTGGGGTGCTTCCTTCTGATAGGAAGACCAGGATTTCCTCCAGGTCCCTGGTTACATTCTCCCATAGCTGGGAGTACATACAGGACGGAGGCTATGACTAAACTCCCCATCACTGTGTCTGCAGGGCCAAGTATGGCTTGGCATGTTGTAGCTGCTCAAACAAGACTGGATGGATGGATGGACAGATAGATAGAAGGACAGATGAGCAAACCAGTGGGTAGATGGATAGATTTTAAATATCCTTTTGGCCCCAAAGACTCAAAATTAGGTCCAAAACACAAATCTTCTTCAACCAGTTATTACTCGAATACCTTGCATTTCTGTGATGACATCTGTAAGGTTTCTATTTACCTCCTGAAAGACAAGGGGTGGGGTTCCCTATTCATTCTGATCACGCTCGGTTAGCCTGTAACAAAAACCATATCCAAGGTAACAGCGCCACACTCAAGACTGCATGCAGGCTACTCCTCTGAGTTCCAAACCACAAAATAGGGGCTGATGTGCTCAAGAAACCTGCAAACACCCCTTCCCAGAGCAGCTGCTCTGATGATCCTGGAGGTGGAAAGCTTTGATGATTATGTCTCCTGGGTCGCCTGTGCTGGCGTGGCTTTTACCACAGCATAATGAATTCTGCAGGTATTAGTAAAACCGGAGTAACAGCCAAGGCAGCCAGCTACAGTTCTAGAGGCTTCTCCCTGTTATCTGCAGCCAAACCCAGGCAGCATCACAGGGAGATGAGGAAAACCCTGCAGGTACCTGGAGGCCAGGCTGAGCCTCAGGGTTCAGCTAAGGGATCAGAGCCTGGGAGGATGGCACAGTGGTGCCCATACCTGCCTGAGAATGTGACCTGCAGGGAAGGAAAGTATGAAACAGGAGCAAGAGAGAAGTCAGAGCCCAGACCCAGATCCCAAGAGGAAAGCCCTCTGTAGAGGACATGCTAAAGCTCCCCACCAAATTTCTGATTTCTGAACGTGTGACAAGGCTGGGTGTGAGCAAAAGGAAACAAATCAGCAGGCCTTGGAGGAGAGCCTCCTCCCCGCCCAGTGTACAACTTCCTCTGCTGTGCATGCTAGAGGGAATTCCCAGGACCCCGCCTGGCAAGCTGGCCTGCACCCCGGATCTCTTGGGCAGGCCAGCAAGTCACACAGCATCTTGCAAAAGGGCAGGAGCTGCAAAGACGGAAAGCAAGTATTTAGGAAAATTCACCTTGGCTCCAAATGTGGGCCACCTTGTAGTAAAAGGCCATCTTCGAATTTGAGATATAGGGCAGCTTAGGGTTTTGGGGTGGGGTGGGGGGATAACCTCATGGAAAGGGATCTGAACTCCGTCTGGTCCTGGCACACAGATAAGGCAGGGGCCAGAGAATATGGCTGGGGGAGACAGACTCCAGCCTAAGCCCCTGCTGTCTCACACCCACAGGCATGTCCCTGTTGACAAAGTCCTCCCTGAGCCTTGTTTCACTTGATCCTCAAAATTACCCCCTTGGCCTTTTTACAGATGAGGAAACTGAGAATCAGAGTGGCTCATAAGTGGCAGATCAGGACTACAGGCCAGAGCTTGGGCTCCATGGGGCCCAAGCTCTGTGCTTTGGAAGCTATCTAGGCAGGCGGACATGATTTGTATCACGGCTGCGAGGATCATTACTGAGTGACCTTCACCAAGACACACACACCTGCCCTGAACCTTACTTTTGTCATCTGTAAGTTGGAGACATATTCGTTCTAGACTGAAGTACGAAATTGTTATTTTTCATACGGTTCAACATAATGCCTCCCTCTAGGAGATAATCAGTTTGGAATCTGGCAGAGAAAGGGCCTAAGGAACATTCCTGCTTTCACCTTTTTACCTCCCACCTGTAATCCTCAGCACAGGGAGGGGAGTTTCCTGAGACAGGAGACTTTAGTGCAGTCTCATCTGAGGGTGTGGGTGGGGAGATAGCTCAGGTGTGTGTGTGGGGGGAGGGGCAGACAGGGTACCAGTCTATGTCTGCAGTTCCATCATTAGAAACCAGGCTCAGGGGCACCTGGGTGGCTCAGTCGGTTAAGCGTCTACCTTTGGCTCAGGTCGTGATTTCAGGGTCCTGGGACCAAGCTCTGTGTTGGGCTCCCCACTCAGCAGGGAATCTGTTTCTACATCTCCCTCTACCCCTCTCCAACATTTGTGCTTCCTCTTGCCCTCAAATATATAAATAAAATCTTTAAAAAGATAAAAAAGAAATCAAGGTGCAGTCTGTGGTCAGAGTGAGAGCCCATTTTCTTTGAAAAGTGCACTGTTCACCCATGAAAATCAAATCTGTCATTTGGATTTCTATCCCTACCTTGGGCCAACCAGCTAGATGCCCCTCCTTGGAGCAACCACTGACCCGCTCACCAGCATGACCCTGTCAACCTTTCAGGACCATGGCCTAGCCAAGGAAGGATAACCTTATCCTACCCCAGCCCACTGTCCCTCCTCCTGCCTACCTGCTGATGGACCCACTGAGGCAGAGGAAACCCACTGACCAAAGCTCTCTGAACAAGTCTGGCACTCATGGTCCCAGGTATTCAGGGGAACATTAGTTTTCTAGTCTGTTCAGGGACCCAGCTCATGGGGTCTTGGTTTCTTAAACTCCTATTTCCACCCACTGCTCTCAGATGTGCCAATTTAGCAAAGTTAGTTCTCAACCTGGGGGGTGGGGTCCCCAGCTCACAAGCTCAGAGAGGCCCCTCAGTCAGAGGGCTCAGACCCAGCCTTGGACTCCTCCTGAGCACGCATGTGGACGGCATCACCACCCCTGACTTCTGCCCAGTGGAACCTGGACCTCCCTCAGCCCAGTCCAGGCCATCCTTCCCACCATTCCCCAGACCACACCTCTCTCCTTCCCTGGAGCTCCATGCGTGCATGCGTGTGCACATGTATAGACATGTGTGCGTGTTTGGCTCATCTCCCTGCCTGGGGCAGGGGAAACGGCTCTTGTGAAAACAGCCAAAGAGCACTTCATGTGTGCTTTATCCAGCACACTTTATCCCTCCTCTGCTTTATTTTTCCATAGCACTCAGACACCAGTACCCTGGATATTGTAGTAGTTAATTAATTTACTGTCCACCTCTCTCACTAGAATGTAGGCTCCAGGAGGGCAGAGACTTTTCTCCATCTGTTTGCTGCTGTGTTTCTGGCTTCTAGAACAGGGCCAGGCACAAAGATGCTAATAATAAATAGTTGCCTGAACAAGTAAATTCCTGGTACAGGCACACTTACCCCTGTGCACTACCATCATTTTACAGGTGAAGAAACTGAGGCTCAGAGGTACTAGATTTGCCCGTGGCCCTCAGCTAACAGTGGCAGAGCTGGGAGCTGAATCCAGGCCTTGTGCCTTGAGAGTACATGCTCCTTCGACTCCCTCACACCAGTCCCAGCACCAGCACAGGGCTGCTCAGTGCATACTGATGACTCACTGATAGTCATCTCTTATGATCCGAGAAGAGGTACTGGGGACTCATAACTTGGTCCCTACTCAAGCGCCAAATACAGCCTTGTGCACCAGACCCAAACCTGATAAGTGAGCCTTAGCCCCATGTGGGGGGTAGATCCAAGAATCTCACTTCAGGGATGTCTGTGGGAGGCTGAGCTGGATCAGGACCTGAGCCCCGCAGTCTTACCCCACAGGGGCAGAGAAGGAAAGCCTTGGAGCTTACCATGGACTCACTGATGAGGAGCAGCAGGAGGGCTTCCTCAATATTATCCTTCGGGCAGTAGAGGCTGAAAGACACAAACGGCAACCCCGGCTTCAGTAGAAGCCTGTCAAAGCAGCACGGCTGGCCTGTCATGGAGGCCCCTCTGCCCCAGAGTCAACAGCTGCCCTGGTAAGGTGACCCTCTCCTGCATAATTCATAGACACCAGATGCCACCTGAAGCTCGTTCTCAAGCCCCAGATGCCACCTGCAGCTCGTTCTCAAGCCCCAGAGTTATGGAACTGAAAGGCTGGGGTGGGCAGTGGGCCCAGAAATGCTACAGATGCTCTGGGAGAAGAGATGTAGCTTCCAGCACCTGGTGCTGCATTAGGCAGCCAGGGCAAGGAGCAGCGGAGGGCCACTCAGATCCCACCTTCAATAATTAATCAAATGAGAGAGAGGTAGGAAGGCAGGTAACCTCCAAATAATTCAACCTTCGGATGCCTTAAAGAATTCTCCTCCCAATCCCCATCCCCAGACCATCTTCCCTGGTCTATTTGGCTCTTGCAGATACTGAAGAGCCTGCCTGGCAGTGAGCTGGGTGGCTGCTGGAGGAAAGTGCCGGCAGAGAGAGAGGGGACATCGGAGCCCCAGGTGGGGAGCATGAGACCGGCATGGTCTGGGCAGGGCTTACTTGTCTCCTTCATAGAGGTGAGGTTTCCGCAGGGCCTGTGTGATGAAGGAGTTCTCTTCCTTGCTCATGAACTCGGGCAGCGGGTGGGACAGGGGGCTCCAGTAGCACTCCTCACTCAAGGAATGTAGCAGGACCCCTGCCAGATGCTTGGCCGCCATCTGGCAGAAAGGGAGGTACTCAGACCCAGAATGGCCTCCACCCACTCCCCAGCCAAATCCGCCAGCCCTGCTGTATGCTGCCCCCCACCCCTAAGAGGCCCACCACTCCACTCCCAAGGAGACTTTTCTTTTCTCTCTGTTTCCACCCCTTCTGTTGGCCTTTGATGGCTTCTACTTAATCTTCTGTCCTCTCTCCTCTCCTAGACAGGAGGTATGTGTCCTCCTCCTCCAGCCCCATGGGGCCCAGCACAGCTCTGAGGACTCAGCAGGCCCTGGCAGAGCGTGAAGCCGCTAGCACGGGCAGCGCTCTTGATCAGATACCTTTCTGATATTTGACCAAAAATTGTAGAGTGAGAAGCCGCCATGGCTCTGATTTCGGGTAAATTAAAGCCTAAGAAGGTAGGCCTGACTTGGGGTCAGGGAAAGGAGTCTAGGTTATTTATTAAGATCATAAACAATCCCTAAGAGTTAGCACACCATCCCACTAGGAAGGAATGACACTGGGTTTTAACCCTGATCTAACGCTAGAGGCTACGTGTCGTGCTGTGATAAGGATGCTGAGGGTGCTTCCCAGGCTCAGTGGGAGGGAACGCTGGGATGGAGTAACAATGTCTGCCACGAGCACAGACAGGGCGAGTAGAAGCACGCATGTGACATACTGTCATCCCTGATTCAGAGGCTGCCTGCTAGCGTCTGTTGTCTCCCACTGAAAGTGACCCCTGAATAAGCCCAGCCACAGCCAGCACCCAGCCCCAAGGCCCCGCCACGTTACCACTTTGAAGTTCTGAGTTGCTTTGGTCTCCACAGTGCGTAGGACCTCCCGGAGCTCTCTCATCCCTTTCACGATGTTCCTGGGGGAAACAGTAGAAGCAGGGCCATTACCAGCCTAGTTCCCACAGGATTATCATCAAGCCTGCACATTCGAGCAGGAGCCCGCCCATTTGAGTGTTGCTTGAAAACACCCAAATGGAATGAAAGGTCAGAGTTGTAGTACCAGGATCCTAGAAGTCCAGGACATTGTCAATCAAAGAACAGGTGTCCCCCACACCCCCCAGCAACCCTGGCTTCCAGGTCACCACCAGAAGGGGACCAAGATTGAGTACCTCAAACATGATGTCAAGTTACCCCAAAGCCCTGGCTAGTGTCAGACTTCCCCAAATTCTCCATCTTCACCCACCACATCTAGTCAACACTGGGGTCCATCCTCACGTCTCAGTCCCCATCTCCAGGTCCCAGTTCAGCCCAGCTCACTTGGGGTCTGGATAACCACAAGAGCCAGTTTCACCTCGCCCAAGCCCTGCCAGCCCTCTGGACCCTGAAATCATTTGCAAGCTTTTTAAAGCATGACCGAGGGCAAAAAAAATACATTTAAAATTGTAACCCAGGGGCACCTGGGTGGCTCAGTGTTTGAGCCTCTGCCTTTGGCTCAGGTTGTGATCCTGGGGTCCTGGGATTAAGTCCTGCATCAGGCTCCCCACAGGGAGCCTGCTTCTCCCCCTGCCTATGTCTCTGCCTCTCTGTCTCTCATGAATAAATAAAATATTTTTAAAAAATTAAAAAAGAAATAAAATTGCAACCCAGCATGCATGAGACTTTCTTTATATAAAATGGAAGCAAGTTTCTTGATGCACTACTTAGCTCTCTTGTGTGCAGGCCACCCTGATATTTCCAATTTTACGTCTTGCTCTATTCCTCTTTGTTATAATGTTGGCTGCAGCCCACTAAACAGATCTTGCGACCCACTAATGGGTTGTGGCCTGCAGTTTGAAACACTGCCCCCTGGCCCCTGGAGGGGTCTGTATGCCTGACGTACAAACGTCATCTTGTACCCCCTGCCCCCTCCCAAGGCTGGCCCTTTTGTCAGCATCCTCAGGGCTCACTGAATCTTATCTGGGTCTTCACCATGGCATTGGGGGCTGGTGGGTCTGCCTTTCACTTCTTACTATCTCCTGCCACTCATCTCCTCTTTGGACAACTGACCAGATGATCTATGTCAAGTCTCAGCACAGACGCCTCCCACTGCCTTAAACAGCCCTTCCACATTCATTCTCAGAACGCCCTTCCAACATCACTTCCTCCCTGCAGCCTTTCCAGACCCCCACCCACACTTGCCCGTCCTGCCTGCATCCCTCTTGCACCCCATCAATTCCTCTTCTGAAGTGTGACCTCCCATGCTCATTTTCCATTATGGGCTGACCCCTCAGGCACTGTGTGCTCTGAGGGCAGGGCTCCTGTCTCACTCCTGAAGCTCAGCACCAGCACAGCTCCTGGCACACATCAGGTGCTCAGCCAATGTTTGAGCCCTGCCCTTCTCATTTGCTCTGGGGGTGCCCTGGATCACAGCTCACAAGGGAGAAAGCAGAGGCCACCAGGTTGGCAAATTGAGAAATGAAAGGCCACAGAGAGGTGAAAAGCCAACGGTGGCAGCCCAGGAAGGTCATGGGAGCCCGTCTTCCATCTTCCATGCACAGAACAGATTCCTGGGGCCTCTGGGGCCTGGAGCGATAAAAGGCCAAACAGGCAGATCAAGTAAATCCCTGCCTTCTGGGAACCTCTGGTTTCATAGAAGACAGCAAAGATGTACAAACTACCAACATTATAAACACAGACCCTTGTTTGTAGGGCTGAGAGGGAAGATAGAGACCACTGGGATAAAGAGTTAGAGTCATAGTGACCTTTCTAGTCTGTCCAGAGCTTCAGAAGAACCAGGAGGGGCTAATAGGACTGGAAACACATGTGCCCTTAGAAATGATTCAAGTTTGGGGGCTACTTGCTGCCACACAGCCCGCGGAGGGGCTTGCCTCCCTGCGCGGTGCTGTCCCCAACTCTACAAATTAGGACTTCAGCTTGAACAGTGTCTCCCAGTCTTCTGCCATCTGCAGACCACATTCACAATTCTTGCTCCCAGCGACACACCATCCTTTTTTTTTCTTTTTAAATATATGTGATACTTTTCTTTACATCTTTTTTACTTAAGTACATGTGTCTTAATAAAAAATACTCGGAATCCTAGATTTGGTGTGCTATTTTTTTTTGGGGGGTTGTCTGTTTGTTGCCAATAGATATTAAATATAGAAACACTTCCAAGAAGTTAGTCTGTGTATCACTTAAAACCACCTCATATATCACTAGAGGTCCAGTCTGAGAAACAGATTAGACCACAGGTTCTCGAAGTGTGGTCTCTGGAACAGAAGCATCAGCATCCCAGGAACTTATTAACAATGCAAAGTCAGACCCCACTCCAGACCCGCTGAATCAGAAACTCTGGGGTGAGCCCAGCAATCTGGGTTGTATCAAGTTTTCAGGGGGTTCTGATGGACATTCAATGCTGAAAACTACTGGTCTGGATAATCCTCAGTGTCTTCCAGGTCTCCTATGCTAAGAAGCCAAGTTCCAGAAGGGACAACCACGTTTTTAATTTGCTACATTATCTTGCTTGGAAGTTCAGGAGTGAATGAGTAGGGGACAGAGAACAGAAGGACCAGAGGGGATCTTCCAGCTTTGTGTCCCAGCCCTGCCCTCACAGGGGACAGAAAGACAGGATTTTCCTGGTAGGCGAACTACACCCAGGGACAGACAGGGAGTCCTCAAGAGCCCACATAGGAGGGGTCTGCAGCAGAGGCCCTTCATTCCCTGTGGAGGCCTTTGCCTGGAAAGGAATCCAGAATTGGACAGAAGGCCAGAGGTCAGGCCAGCTAAGGAGAGAGCCCAGCACCAGCCATCACCAGGAGAGAGAAAAAAGACAGACCGCATGAGCTCCCAGAAAAGACAAGAAATGGCTGGCTCTGGGGAAGTCTGCAGGAGACCAATGCCCTGGCAGCTGGGCCATAGGCCGGGGCGAGGCTGAACCCAGGCGCTGGATGCTGGGACTGCCCCAGAGCCTTATGGCCCAGAGACAGCCAGTGGCTCCTGAGACCTGTGGGTGATTTTCCACTCTGTGGGCTCCCTGCCAGCTTCCTCCCTGGCAGCCCAGCTCAGGCTGCTACCAGGAGCCCAGAGCCAAGAGGGACTACGGCCTCTTTTTCCCACTCCAGCTCAAGGACTGTCCTCTCTCTGCCCTTAATCTCCACATCATCAACACTAGAAGACGGCTCCCAGACCAGCGGCACTGGCATCGCCTAGCAGATGCAGAGAAACGCAGACTCTCAGGGATCCTGCCCCCCGCCCCCAATACACACACAATTAAGGAAATCAGAGCTGTGTTTTCACAAGATCCCATGGCCCAACAGTTTTGTAATTTTACTATTTTCAAATCTGTAAGTGATTCTAGCATCTAAATAAGTTCCCAGGAATTCTTTAGCAAAGCAAGTCGTCACCCTCAGGCATCTTTTGGGTAAATCCCAATTTTATTTTATTTTATTTTAAAGATTTTATTTATTTATTCATGAGAGACACAGAGAGAGAGAGAGGCAGAGACACAGGCAGAGGGAGAAGCAGGCTCCATGCAGGGAGCCCGACGTGGGACTCGATCCCAGGTCTCCAGGATCACACCCTGAGCTGCAGGTGGCGCTAAACCGCTGAGCCACCTGGGCTGCCACTAAATCCCAATTTTAATTGAATGCACATAAAGAGAGAAACCAACACGGAGGCTCCAGTGGCCAGGGCTGTCTGGGGGAGTTTGGGCTCCCAGCTGGCCCTGACCTGTTCTATCATGTTGGGAACACCCTCTGGCTCAGCTTATCCCTCTGGGAAATGGGAAATCAGATGGGGTTTCTCCCACCAGCCTGAGCTAAAACTGCCTGTGCCAGGTAGAGCTGGGGCTTTTCCCCGGCTCCATGAGAGGGCAGCTTGAAAGATCTCTTTGTTCTAGTCTCTCAAGCTGACCTTTCTGAGCAGAGATGCCACTTTTAACAATATCCAAACAGGGCCTCAAACAAACCCTGGCCCAGAATCAGGCTACGTGTGGAGAAGCCAGGAAGCCACTGATCCCAACTCAAGTAAAGCTTGGCTGGCCAGGAACAGAAAGACAGAGTTGTGCAGGAAGGGATGGATCACTGAGGGAGGGCTCCAGGTGGGACACGCCAGGAGGTGGCAAGTTCCCCAGGGGCCCCTCGTCAGCAGCAGGCAGTAGGCAGATTTTACAAAGTGCTTGGTCAGAGCTTCTGAGGAGGCTGGTAAGGCAGGCTTTGTTCTCACAGCTACCAGCACAACGCTTGGCACATAGGAGGCACTCAAGATATCACTGTGGAATAAATCAACTCCCATTTTGCAAGGGAAAATTAAAGGCTGGTAGATACCTGCATTTCCAGGCCATCGCTTACTGAGGGCGCTTATCACAGGCACCAAAGCTTCAGATTTTACTCCTTTTAAACTAAAAAGATTCCCAAGAAAAACAATGCTTGTCTTTTGACCCAGGATGGTCACACTCTCCTTTCCTGGCTGAGGGATCTCTAGGATTCCTGAAAGTCAGCCCACTGACTAGCCTTTACAAAGTACCTACTGTATACTCAGTGCCTGGTCACCAGCCCTGTTGATGAGAGGCATTCAACAAACCCTGGCGGAATGGACCAAGAGACAGAATGAGTGAATGAGTATCTCATTCGTGGCTCTGCAGGTAAGGAGCTCATGGTCTGTTAAATTAACCACACTCCTGCTTTACCAGAGTTTAGCAAAGTGTTTTGCATAAAGTAGACACTCAACAAATTATTTTTGGTTTTGGTTTGGTTTGATTTGAAACAGAGAATAAGTTGCATGGCATTTATGGTTAAATGGAATCTAAACCAGACGCTGGGTGCACGTGACCCTGACCAGAAGTCCCCATTTCAGGACTGGTACTAATTGCAGAGGAGAGGATTCTAGTCAAAGACCCAGAAGAGCACAGCCAGTTGGCAGATGCCGACAGCTGGAGGGT